TCGTTCCAGATCCTGGTTACCTGATGGGCGTGCGAGAGCTGTGCACCCGGCACCAGGTCGCCCACCTTGCACCTGCCTACCTCACTCAGGGCTGGGCCGGTAGTGTGGAAGCAAAGATGACATCACCTTTCCACTAGGGGGAGACCTCATTCTGAGAGCTTCAGAACTTTCTAGTACGCTCTGTCAGCGGCCTACACAGAAGTTGACTTTTTACTAGCTCTGGAAAGTGGCCAAGCCTGGGCTCAGGCAGAGCTGCAGACTTCCCGGGCCCAAGGGTGGTTTCTTCCTCTCCACTCCAGCAGCCTGTGTGTGCTGTGATCCTCCCCAGGCCCCTGGTTGTATCCCTCTGCTCTCTTCCTCTTCCCACCGAGCTGGTCCATATTTAAGAAGTAACTGTTTAAGAAATGTTTGGAATAAGCAAGTGAATTAATTTGTTCCCAGAGAGTAGTTCTATCCAAACCCTGCGGAATAGAGCAGAATGGGCCTCAGGGAGGGAGTGGCCTGACACAGGAGATAATTGTGTGTATGCAGGATTTCCATAGGATGCTGTTGAACTTAAGTCGGTAATTAAAAGGTTCTCACCAATCTGAGGGAATGTCAGAATGACAGATTTGTGTGGGGAAGTGTTCGCTGTTTGCCCTGTGGAAACAAAATCAGTAATTAATGTATTCCCTTGTTTTCCAACAGGTTCTGTTTATTGCTGATGAGATACAGACAGGATTGGCCAGAACTGGAAGGTGGCTGGCTGTGGATCATGAAGGGGTCAGACCTGATGTGGTTCTTCTGGGAAAGGCGCTTTCCGGTGGCTTGTACCCTGTAAGTTGAGGGTTCAGCTTCTTTAGTCCCTACTCTTGTGAAGTCTGCCCTTAAGATATTTTTACGTCAGCCAATCATGACAATGTGCCTTTCCCATGGCCTGGTTATACGGAGTGCGCTGCAAGGCACCCTGAATGTGTAATAGGAACATTTCGGCATTCCAGGGGGCCGATCGGCTTCGTTAACTTTACCCGGAGAACTGCGTGTACCTTGGAATTTGCTCTGGCATTTGTTTTGGATGGAAGCATTTTACCCCAGAAGTACTTCTGTAGAAGCCTGTGCTTTTTCCCGTTGTTCAGAAACCTAGCATTACCAATTGTCTAAAACCGTGACTGATTCATGTAGAGGTTGGGAAAAGAGTAATGTTTTGTTGTAGCTTCGTCCTTGAGTTTACTGTTCAGAGCCAGTCATTGTACTGGATGACAGGTAAAGGGCTCTGACCGTAGCGCATGACTGTTGTTTTCTAGGCAGTTAAACCAGGCATTTCACTTGGCAAGTGGAAAGAATTCTAAATTCTATCGTTGCAGAAACCACTTTCCTCTTGGTTCCGAAATGCTCTTGTTCGGAGCCATCAAAGCGTGCCTGACAAGCTTGCACTGAGCCCAGGGTATCACCAGTTCGTCCCTGGCAGTTAGGATGAAAGATGCATAGCCCTTGTTTGTGGAAGCTTCGTGTCACATTTAATACCAGCTTCATAAATATTTGCTGAGAGTGGGAACGGTCAGTCCGGGAAATGACTTGGTTGGTCCCGAATTCTCTGTCTTGCAGGTGTCGGCCGTGTTGTGTGACGATGAAGTAATGCTGACCATTAAGCCGGGGGAGCACGGGTCCACGTACGGAGGCAACCCGCTGGGCTGCCGAGTGGCCATTGCGGCCCTGGAGGTAACAGCCGATTCAGACCATTTGTCTGGTGTCCTTTTGTCTGGGTGGTGTCGACGTGGCTTTTAAGTTTGAGCCCAGGGGCGTAATGAGAAATATAATGACTGCCAAATATCATAGAACATGAAGTCCAGAGGAGGGACTTTAGGGGCAAGGCATTCTCAAAAAGTAATTTAACCTTGGTCTTGTAGACGGGACTCCTCTGGGGGTTTTGAGTTGCAGTCACCTGGAGCTTTGGGGCCAGAGGCCCTGGGTGGCTTTCAGAGCTTTTACTCTGTGAGCAGACCTGGCCCGCAAGGCTATTTTTTTTTTTTTCTTTAGGTTTTGTTTATTTTATTTTGAGAGAAAGTAAGAGAGAGTGCACAGAGGGAGAGGGAGAAGCAGACTCCCCACTGAGCAGGGAGCCCGATGCGGGGCTGGATTCCAGGACCTTGAGATCACCATCTGAACCAAAGGCAGATGCTTAACTGACTGAGCCACCCAGGCGCCCCCCTCCTTTGTTTTTAAAGTGTAGATTTGAACACTTTTGGACTTATTCCTTAGGGGCCTACTACAAGGCATAAAATTATGTATCTCCAAGGATGGACTTTTTAGGGAAAAAAGTAAATGAAACTGTAGTTTAAAAATTAAAGTATATTCAGTCCATTGATTTATTCAGCTAATAAGATCAGTTGCATTAAGCAAATTTTCATTCTTATTTTGCCACGAAATCAGATTGATGATGGATTTGTGACTAAAGCAAGCTCTGTTTGAGGCTTGTATATGTTTAACTAGAAACTAAACTGGTTGGGCCGCCTGGATGGCTCAGTCAAACGTTTGACTTTTGGTCTTAGCTCAGGTCTTGATCTCAGGGTCGTGAGTTCAGGCCCCACGTTGGGCTCTATGCTGGGTGCGGAGCGTACTTAAAAGAAAAATGAAACTGGGATAGACTTTGGAAAACAAGCGAAAGTTCAGTGACTCTGGTCTTTATCTGATCGTGTTCTTCCTTTGCTTATTGTCCACGTTCCTTTCCAAAGAATGACTTAAACCAGGGCAATCTTAGCACTTGTGTAATTTCTCGTTAAACACAGGTTTTGGAAGAAGAAAACCTTGCCGAAAATGCAGAGAAGATGGGTAATATCCTGAGGAATGAGCTCATGAAGCTGCCGTCTGACATCGTCACAGCCGTCAGGGGGAAAGGATTGCTAAATGCTATTGTTATTCGGGAAACCAAAGGTATGGACGCGAACATTTTACTCCAGATGTTATTTTTATGGGAAGGACTGAAACACTTGCGGTATTTTCTCTGGTTGTTGGGTTCCCCTGTTTGAAATTGTTGACCAGGTCTGTTAGGCAGAGTCTCATCTGACTTCTGTTAATGGCCTGTGGAAATAGAGCCCTTTCCTCCGGGAAGGACTGAACTGCTCCGCGACGTCACTTACCGTTCTGCCTTGGGCCCGTGACGCAGCACGCGGTGTCCAGTTACTTGCTGCCACGGCCTGCACACGGCCCTTCCCTGGGGGGCTTCCTGTTCGCTGTCTTCCCTGCCTCCCGGCGGGACTTGCTCCAGCAGCGAAGGTGGCGGGGGTGGCGGGAGTAGCAGTCGGAGCGACGCGTGACAGTGATGGCGGTGACCCGAGTTCCCCCTCCGCCGCCTGCTGCGTGTGGGCTGTCGCAGTACATCATCTGTACAGGCCCTCGAGGGCTCCTTGCTGGATTTTCCTGTGATAACCCTTCCTTTTATTTTTTTTAAAGATTTTATTTATTTGACAGAGAGAGACACAGCGAGAGAGGGAACACAAGCA